GCAAGGAGTACGGGGGCCTCAACGTGCTGGTGAACAACGCGGGCGTCGCCTTCCAGCGTAGGTCGGGGGTGGGTCCCTGCGCGCCCGGAGGGTCGGGGCACAGAGCCGGAGGCACCCCCTACTCGTCCGCTGGAGGGATCGCGGAGCGCAGCGCCGGCCGCTCGGGATGCGCTCGGCATTCATTGCCCGCCGGTGCCGGCGTCTCGCTTTCCGCGGAGTCTCGGAAGCGGTTCGCTTCGCGCGGGGCTGGCGGGGCGCAGCCCGGGGCCCTCCCGGAGCCGTCGGCGGCTGCGGAGCGCCAGGAAACCGGCCTCCTGGGAGGGGGCGCCGCCCTGCTACACTCCTCGGCCTTCTGTCTCATGCAAAAAACAGTTTCCCTGCGAAGGATCTCTGAGCTCACTTGGGGCTTTCGCTTTCCTTGAAAGGGGGCTTTCATAGAAGCCGGGAGGCATCTGCTCGGGACAGGAAGTGGATCGCGGAGACACGGTCGGCGCGCCCGGGCACAATCGTGGACTTGAGATTTTGTTTCAGGCAGGGCTTTGATAGGCTCAGCCAGAAAGGAAGGGAGCCTTGTTCCCACCTCCAGCGAATTTGTCCTCCAACATACATTTTTTTAATGTTTTTATTTATTTATTTATTTCTAGGAGAGAGAGAGAGACAGCGTGAGCAGGGGAGGGTCAGAGAGAGAGGGAGTCACAGACTGAAACAGGCTCCAGGCTCTGAGCTGGCAGTCAGCACAGAGCCCGACGCGGGGCTCGAACCCACGAGCCGCGAGATCACGACCTAAGCCAAAGTCGGACGCTTAACCGACTAAGCCACCCAGGCGCCCCATCCAACATACATTTTAAGTGTGGTTTTGAGTAGCATCTTTGGACGGGGGAAGGAAGGGTCGAGGATATTACTTACGCTATTTATTGCTCTACTGAGAAAGTTGTTGAGCCGCCATGTGGTGGAGGTAGAAAGAATAATCAGGCCAGCCTCACCTCGTAGGGACGAGAAGAGACGAGAAACCCAAGAGGCAGAACGGAGTAAAAGCTACCACGAGGCCTTGATTGAACAGCCTCCCGGGCTCGACCCCCCACCGTGGCTGTGCGCGCGCACCTCCGACTCGGCGGCTCGGCTTTCTGGAAGCGCAGGTGGGAGGTGGCAGACGCCCGCAGGTGCAGCCCTCAGCCTCCGGTTGGGGGACCCAGGGATAAATACTCCGTTTCCGCGACCAGTCCTGCAGAAACGCGGCTCCATTGGAAACTGCTGTCCCCTCAAGAGTGTGGGCGGTGCACCAGCAGCCCGCGCAGCCCCAGGCACTCGCTGGAGTCGCAGGATCTCGGGCTTCATCCCACACCCGCTGAATCAGAATGTGCATTTTAACAGAATCGCCAGGTGCCTCCCATACCTGGTCAGGACTGAGCGGCAGCCGCGAAAGCCAAGAATTCACAAAGTGTGGCCAGACCAGTAGCTGTAGCGTCACCAGAGAACGCGTTCAAAATGCAAATTCTGGAGCCCCACCCGAGACCTTCTCAATCCCCCAGTCTGGGGGCGGAGCCCAGAAAGCTGTGTTTTAACAGGCCCTGCAGGTGATTCAGATACACGCTTGAAGCTAGAGAACCACCCATCCAGTGGCTTGAAAGTTGTTTTATTTAAAAAAAAATTTTTTAATGTTTTTTACTTATTTCTGAGAGAGAGAGAGAGAGAGAGAGAGAGAGACAGCGTGAGCAGGGGAAGCAGTCTCCAAGCCTGAGCGGTCAGCACAGAGCCCGACGCGGGGCTCGAACCCATGAACCATGAGATCATGCCCTGAGCCGAAGTCGGATGCTTAACCGACTGAGCCACCCAGGCGCCCCTTAAAAATTGTTTTAAGGTTAGCTTGTTTTAGGGGCGCCTGGGGGGCTCGGCTGGTTGAACGTGGGACTTCAGCTCAGGTCATGATCTCCCGGTTCATGATGAGTTCGGCCCCCATGGGACTCTGTGCTGACTGCTTGGAGCCTGGACCCTGCTTCCGGTTCTGTGTCTCCCTCTCTCTCTGCCCCTGACCAGCTTGTGCGCTCTCTCTCTCTCTCTCTCTTTCTCTCAAAAAATAAACTTAAAATAATAATTATAAAGTTGGCTTGTTTTACCTTTAATTAGAGATTAAAATCTGGGGCACCAGGCTGGCTCTCAATCTTGGGGTCCTGAGTTCCAGCCCCACCTTCAGTGTACAGATTGCTTAAATAAACTTTAAAAGAGAGAGAGAAAAGTTTCTCTTTGTTATATACATTTTAAGGGGGAAATGCATGACTTTGTCTTTGTTTCCTTCTCTTTTTATAAGCTGATGATCCAACACCCTTTGACATTCAAGCTGAGATAACACTGAAGACAAACTTTTTTGCCACAAGGAATGTCTGCATGGAATTACTGCCAATAATAAAACCTCATGGTAAGTCCAGCGATGTGTCTGCCCCTCCCCCACTCATTCTCACTTTCTCTTCTCTCTCTCTCTCTCTCTCTCTCTCTCAAAAATAAATAAAAATAAGGGGCGCCTGGGTGGCTTAGTCGGTTAAGCGTCTGACTTTGGCTCAGATCATGATCTCACAGTTGGTGGGTTTGAGCCCTGCATCGGGCTCTGTGCTGACAGCTCAGAGTGTGGAGCCTGTCTTTGGATTCTGTATCTTCCTGTCTCTCCGACCCTCCCCTGCTCATGCTGTCTGTCTCCCTCTATCTCTCTCAAAAATAAAATAAAATAAAATAAAATAAATAAAATATTAAAAAATTAAAAATAAAAAAATGTTAAAAAAATAAAAAGATATGAATAATGGCTGAGTGGCTCAGTTGGTTGAGGGTCCGACTCTTGATCCCAGCTCAGGTCTTAATCTCAGGGTCGTGAATTCAAGCCCCAGGTTGGGCTCCTCACTGGGCATGAAGCCTACTTAAAAATAAAATAAAAGATATATTTGATACTTGGCAGTGCTCTTTGATCCCATGATATGAACTCAACCCTAGAATAATAGGTGTTACAAGTCCCCCAAAGGCCTCTTGGCATTAAGCAACCTCAGTGGGTCCTTCCCAGCTCCCCAGGGTGGTGGGGCCACATCTCATCCAGGAGCCTGTCAGGGAAGGATCTATTTTAGCATCATTATGACTTTTCCTGTGTTCCTTTCTTCGCTTTGTGAAGCTAATGAAGAACCTCCTAAAGAAATGTTTCTTTATTAGGAAGTATCTTGCCCACACTTCCAAGTATTCAATAGCTTTTATTACTTTCTCCATAAATACTGGAGCGGCTTCCATAACCCAGGGTGCTGGGGACGCAGTGGTAAGCACTGTGGACAGGGACAATCCTGACCATGGAGCACCGAGTCCAGTGGACGAGACTGTCATTGACAAAGAATCCAACAGCTGTACTGGGAGAGGGCAGAGGAGGCTCGCTTCCCTGAGGATTCTCTTCTCCAGAAAGGCAGCTGTGATTCTTAGGAAGAAAAACTCTGTGGTTCTTATAAGAAATGTGCTTTTCTTGGGGTACCTGGGTGACTCAGTCAGTTAAGCATCTGACTGTTGATTTCAGCTCAGGTCATGATCCCAGGGTCGTGGGATCGGAGCCCCACATTGGGCCCTGTGCTGAGTGTGGAACCTGCTTAAGATTCTCTCTTTCTCCCCCTCTCCTCAGCTCATGCTCGCTCGCTCTCCCAAAAAAAAGAAAAAAGAAGTGCTTTTCTTAATTTAACATTTTGAATAAAGATGATCTCTAGTGCAAAAATCTTAAAATCTAAAAAGATGCTTGGTGAGAGTTGCACTCAGACTCCTGTCCCCGACTTGCCCAATTCCTGTCCCCGACTTGCCCAATTCCTGTCCCCAGCCTCTGCAGACAATTCCCTTCGTCCTTTCCTCATGGAAGGAGATCACAGAAAGCCCACAGGCAGAGCTGCAGGGACTGGCTGAAGGAAGGCTTGGTTCTAGGTGCATAGAGTTGCTGAGTGCTCAGGGCCAAGGGGATAGTTTTTGAATACAAATCTAAGTTATGTATGTATGTGCATGTCTATATATATATACATATATACCTTTTTACATAAAGGGAACATTAAATATAGTGTTTGCCACCATGCTTTCTTCACTTAACTGTATCTGGGACTCCTTCTAGATCAGGACAGAAAGCTTTCTTCTTTTTTTTTTTTTTACAGCTGCGTAGTATTCCATTTGCAAGGGTGACTTTTACCAAGTGTCTGGAAATCTCTCCATGGGTTTTAGAATCCTAGAATTTGAAAGCTATAAGGTATTGAAGAAGCTTTATATTCCTATGCCTTCATTTTACAGAGAAGACATGAAATCGAGACCCAAAGACATGAAAGCAGGTAGTGAAAGAGCTGAAATGGTCTTCAGGTTTCCTGATTTCACCCCTCAGTCAAATCAGGATAATTAGTTCCAGTGAAGGGAAGGACCTTAACGCCAAATGATTGCAAACCAAGCTATTTTGAAAGATGAAAAGCAGCTTGGAGGAGGAGGGTGGAGCTCAGGCATCAACCCAGAAGCAGATGAATCACTGGCTTCAACCAGTTCTCTGTAACAGTAATTCCCAAAGTGGAAATCTGGTTTACAACACATTGAGAATATTTGTGAATTTTCAGTAAAAGTCATGTTTACTTGGAGGGCAAAAAGCTGAGGATCATTGCCTCTTGATTTTTAGGGAATCACTCTTAACCCACACAAAACTGACTTGAAAGCCACATTTTATTTAGATTTATAATACCTCTTTAAGGAAGAGTTACCCCTTTTGCTTATTTATTCGATTCTGAGTAAATAAGTTAATCCAATGTTTACCCACTAGGGGGAGCTACTTGTCCACTCTTTCTAAGAAAGGGGGAGGGGTTGTTCCAGGACCAGTGAGCCCACCTGGACTTCAGCAAAGAAAAGGTGGTGGTGATTGTGTGGGTGCAGCCCTTCTCAGGGTTGATTGGACCTAGCGGGCTGCTGAGATGGTCATCCCTCGGCCTCTCTCCCAGAGATGTCACCTGAGTTCAAAGAGAACACCTCTGACTCTTACAAAGTGTTTTATTTCCACCAAAGGCGTAGAGTAGCTCCTATAATTCATTTTTCTTTCTTCCTTTACCCTTTTGAATTTAATTCCTTGTAGCAGCCAGGCGATTAAGAACAAAGTTGTTTAGGGTGCCTGGGTGGCTCAACTGGTTAGGTGTCTGTTGATGTCTGCTCGGGTCTCCATCTCGGGGTGTGAGTTCAAGCCCCACATTGGGCTCTACACTGGACGTGGAGCCTACTTAAAAAAAAAAGAACAAAGCTGTTTAGAAAGTAATGAAGAACACAACGTCATCAAAGTAATATTCCTGGCCAAAGCATTGAAGTGAATCTAATTATAAGAAAATCATGCCAATCCAAATGGGAGAAATACTACAAAATAATAGCCTAGAGTCTTCAAAAAGATCATTGTTCACTACTCTAGGTTAAAATAGACTAAAGAGGTATGACCGCTAAATATAATCCATGATCCCACATTGGAGACTGGATGAAAACAAAACCTATAAAGAGAGATTATTGAGATAATTGGAGTCCTTTGAATACGGAGTGTACTTCAGATAATAGTGCCGTGATGAATGTCTGGAGGGTGATCTCTCTTGTGGTTATGTAAGGTGATACTTTTGTTACCAAATATAAAGTGCCTAGGGCAAAGTTTTGTATTTGTCTGCAATTAAGACAAAGAGAAAGCAAATGTGGCCAAATGTTAATAATTGAGATGCTTAGGTGAAGGGTAAATGGGTATTTATTGAATTATTCTTGCAATTTCTCCGCAGGCTTCAAATTTTTCACAGTTCAAAGTTGGGAAAGAAATATGTACTACAAGAGAGGGAGAAAATACTAAAGTGTCTTAGGTACCCGGGGATACGTGATGTGCTCATATTCAAAACAGAGTGAGGGCATCTCTGTGTGCGGTCAGCCCACAAAGCTATCTAGTAGAATGTACAACACTCCCCCCACCCCCAACCCCATGGTGAATGAATGCCACTCAGAAAATACAATAAAATCCAACTATCTTATTGGAAACAGAGAAAGTGGATTCAGGATATTGTATAAGAAAAGAATCCCTTAAATGTGGTGTCTTTTTTTAAATATTCATTTTATATTCATTCATTCACTTCATCCGAAGTGGGCTCTGTGCTGACAGCAGACAGCTCCATGTAGGGGCTCAAACTCCTGAACCATGATATCCTGACCTGAACTGAAGTCAGACGGTCAACTGACTGAGCCACCCAGGTACCACAATGAGGTGTCTTTCGATGTTAGGTGAACTGTGTAAATTCACATACTTAACAGTTTGGGGATTTCCATCAATGTTTCAAACCATCTCTAGTTTTTGGCCTGCATGTTTTTTCATAGACATAACTGTCTCTTTAATAGCCATGAGTTATTGTTAATGTGAATATTAACTCATTAATTTATTAATGATGGGCTAAAGAAAGTGAAGAAAATCAAAACAGATGGAGAATCAACCCACTCCATGCGTGAGAGTACCCATCATTCAGGATAAACAAGGGTCATCGTAAGTCATTGCTTGACCCTGATTTTTGGCAGTTGGAGACAAAGAGGTGGTGCCCGGGGCCGTAGGAAATTGTGCAAACCGATAAAGAGCTTTAATCCTTGGGGTGAGGGTGCTGTCTCGGAAAGCAAGTTCATGGGCACCTGGAGTGTTTGTATGTGTGTAGTGGGATGTTTTATAAAATTACTTCCTACTGGAGAATCACTGTTCTTTAGCCCCTATTACTGACAAATGTCTCCTTCCCTTTGGGGGAACAAAGCACAAAATACTGGTGAAGCCCACTGGTGCCTTCTAGAGTCTTTTTTTTTTATATCAGCAATTAAACCTGCAGTATCCATCAATTGTATGTTGGGTATAGTCACCCAACAATTGTTTATCTGTGACTTGCTTCCATTATTTTTACTGTTCTGTTTCAGGCAGGGTGGTGAATATCAGTAGTTTAGAGGGCTCCAAAGCCCTTGAAAATTGCAGCGCAGATCTACAGAAGAAGTTCCGATGTGAGACACTCGCAGAAGAGGACCTGGTGGACCTCATGAACAAGTTTGTGGAGGATGCAAACAATGAAGTGCATGAGAGGGAAGGCTGGCCCGACTCAGCTTATGGGGTGTCCAAGCTGGGGGTCACGGTCTTATCAAGGATCTTGGCCCAGCGTCTCGATGAGAAGAGAAAAGCTGACAGGATTCTGCTGAATGCATGCTGCCCGGGGTGGGTGAAGACGGACCTCGGTGGGCCTTGCGGCCCCAGGACTGTGGAGGAGGGAGCTGAGACCCCTGTCTACTTGGCCCTCCTGCCTCCAGATGCTACCGAGCCTCACGGCCAGCTAGTCCATGACAAAGTCGTCCAAAACTGGTGAATGTCTACTTTGGTGCTTAATACTTAATAAATGTTTGTGGAGCGAATGAGTGAATTCTGGTGGTGCAGTCAGCTTCTGTTTCTGTCGACTAGAATCTCCCTGTGAGAAAGCGGGTCTCGTTCTAGAATCAGGCCAAGAGATTTTGCTGTGCCCAGACTCTAACCTGAGAGGGAGAAGAACCTGGTCCAGTGGTTCTCCAGTGTCAGAGTGCATCACAATCACCTGGAGGGCATGTTAAAACATTGCCCCGAACTGGGGCCCAACGATGTGCATGTCTGACACGTTCCTGGGTGCTGCTGGTGTTGGCTGAGCGAGAGCCCTCAGCTGTTTCTAGGTGGTTGACTCCATGAGGATATGATTCCTCCTCCGTTTCCATTGCTCTGCAATCCTGCTTTGTACCACATTCTGTTTCATTATATTTGAGCACATTTTAATCGGTTCCTACAAAGTAGTATGGCTTAAAGGACTCAGGAAGAATGTCCTTTTTTTCCACTGGGATACGATTCCTTTCATACTGGGTTTTTCACTTGGGGTTTTGCGTTCTGGGTTTCCCAGAATGTTTGCAAGGTTGCTCGGCCCCTTCTTTCAAATTGCTCCTGCATAGGCAACTTTGTGCAGACCGTCTCTGCTCTCACAGAGGCAGCTGTCTTCTCCCTGGCCTGTTCCTGCCCCCCTACAGCCCAGGGTGATTCTTAAGCCTTCCCGAGCTCCTTTTGTATCCTCTCTGACAACCACCAACTCCACGTTCACTGCTTTCAAATGGGACTGGTTTTGTAATCAGCCTCCTTGGTTCTGGTTATACCCTGTAGAAGAAGGACTCGGAGACTAAAGACTCTTACAAAAGAGACGTACCCTTGTGAGGAAGGTTTGCTAGGGCGTCAAGACCTCAGAAGGAATGGCTGGCCAAACAACAGAAATACAACAGGTGTGCAACGGACAAACGACAAAGGAAAGAAACCACAAATTTACCAAGTTTATGATGGGCTGTTCATGGTGAGATACAGCAATATCCTCACTTGATTATGACCACAAAGGTCACATCGTATCACCTGTCAACAGCATTGCAGAAATAAGGAATGATGCTGGTTTTCACTCGATAATCCGGTAGAGTATGGGAATGCTCAGGGTTTCCTTCACTTGGCGGACCAGGACTATCCAGGTAACCCTGTTATTTCTGGTCTATCACGGCGTGCAAAGTGTTTGTCTTGACTCTCAAATGTAATGATGGCAGCATGGCAAAGTGTCATGGAGCTCTGACAACCCACACCTCACTTCTTCATCCACTTTGGGTGGAGGACCTCTGAATCCCACCCAGATTACATCTCACTTCCTGTAGCCATCTCTATATTGCCTGATCCCATCCAGCCTGGTCTTACAGTCATCTCAGACCAGAGCTCCTAAGACATTTTTAATGACTTCGTGTCTGGCTCTAAAAACATTTTAATGGCTTTCGATATGTTGCCTCATTATCTTTCATACTCTGGCCTCCCTCTGCAGCCCGCCTCCAGAACGCTGCCAGTGGTGGTGGAGAGCTCTGGGACCACGGAGCACCTGTAGATTCTGCCTAATGGGGTCACAGACAGGAAATGTACAAGTAAACAGGCAATTTCCTTTGATTTCTTCTCCCTTTTTCCTCTCTAGCCACATTTCACCTTGACATTTTTGGATCCACGTGTAGCCCACTTAAAAGATCCTTAATGGTAAACTGGCGATCAGAACAGCACGTCTCATTTTTTTTATGGAAAGGTCATAGGGGACCATTATTGGATAGTCTGCCCAGCACCCTCCCCCACTGCTTCTTCCCATGTTTGCAGCTGCGACAGGCACCAAGTGACTTTGCCCTGCTGGCCTCTGTTGCCTCCTCCAGCAGTAAGCCTGTCTTCTAAAGAGGAGGACTAGCTGGCCCGCATCAGGAAAAGTTCTGAGCTGACAAGTGGCCACGCCACATCCCATGTGGTTTAGGAAGCAGAGGGAACCAAGCATAGCCAGTCCTCAACCAACCAGTTCTCAAGAGACACACTTAAAGAGTGACTCCAAGAGAGACTGTCCCCACTCTCCATAGTGGCATCCCCTACCTGGCCTCAAGATATTCCCGAGATCCCTGATTCTAAGAGATGCTCCAAGACACCCCTGTATCCTTATAAGAAATGCCCCCTTATGTTTTATTTTAGAGAGAGATTGAGAGCACAAGTGGGGGAGAGAAGCAGAGAGAGAATCTTAAGCAGGCTCCAACTTCAGCACAGAGCCTGAAGCAGGACTCGATCCCACAACTCTGGGTCAAAATCAAGAGTCAGATGCTCAACTGACTGAGTCACCCAGGCACCCCAAGAAAGGTCCCTTTCCTTAAGCTAGTTTGAATTATGTTAATGCTTGAAACAAAAAGGAATCTAATACATGTGCGTGAAAACATTTTTGCTGTGTGCTATAGTGGAAAAATAATTAGGCTTAGAATCAGAAAGGGAAAGAGAAAAAAAATTCATGAATTGAGAACCATGGCATACTCAGCCACATGCCATGCTTAATATCTTCCCTACATTGTCTTATGTATTTCTCACAGCAGTTCTTTGAGATAGGTATTAATATGATTTAAATGAATCCTTATCATTCAAATAAGGAAAAAGGGCTTGGAGAAGTTGATTAACTTGCCCAAGATCACACAGCTAAGAGCCAAGAGCCTGGATCACATCCAGGACTAAGGCCAGTTCCTTGGCTTTTCTTCATGCCTAGTGTTTGGCACATCCAACTTCACTACTAGGAGTCTAGTGACCAAGGCAATTCCCTTGGTGTAAAAATTAAGGGACATGATACACCAAATCTAAGTGATTTGGAAGCCATATGGTTATTAGATCCTAATTTAGCCTTTGTGTGGACTTTTCCATAAGGTAGGCAAATTAAATACAGTTTAAAAGTGGCATATTTTAAGTGGATTATACCATTATGTGTATTTCTTAGGTACCAAATGGAGCCACTGACCCTCTCTGAATCAGCGTCTCCGTGACATACTTTTCTAGGTTGACACATGTGTGTTAAGTCTCATACAGTGTGGGAGGGTATCAGCTGTAGGCCTGGCCTTTGGGCCTCTCCCTCACCTACTCAGCTGCAGCAAGGATTGTGACAGGCCAAGATCCTGAACAGTGATGTTGTGTGGAGATGAAGTGGGTGATAATGACGATCCTGACAAAGGTTTACTTGTTACTGCAAGTCGACCACAAAGTGGGCACAGCATCAAATACAGAACTAAGAAGGACTTTATTTAGACGGGGTGGAGTACAATCTAGTTTATTGCAAAGACAGGGTTAGAGGATCACCAGTATTTGCATATGGAAACTCAGAATGTGTTTACCTCACCAATGTCTCTAGTAGGTAGGCCAGCCTGAGCCAGAGAATGTAGTCACCTCTGACTTATAACCCCTTCTTTATTATCAGAAGGGGTAAGGATTAAGGTTTTGATTCAAATGAACTCTGAAATGCTCTGATTAGAATATTATTATGTGAGGAACCTGCTCTATCTATATGCCTTAAACAGATGAACACGGCTAAGTAGACTTTTAAGAGTGACTACCTGACCCATGAAAATGGAGTTTGTGTGGGAATAAATTTTCAAATCTTAATGCTGTACATTGACTGTCAATCCTGACTATAAATGTAGTTGTTCTTTTTAGGGTTTATGACACTTGAATCTGTCAACATTAATTTAAATTAACTTTCCATACACCTGGATTTCTTTAGAGATAGGTGACATAAAAAGGCAAGCATATTGGTGGGAATGCGAACTGGTGCAGCCACTCTGGAAAACAGTATGGAGATTCATCAAAATTTAAAAATAGAACTACCCTATGACCCAGCAATTGCACTACTAGGTATTTATCCAAGGGATACAGGTGTGCTGTTTCTAAGGGGCACATGCATCCCAATGTTTATAGCAGCACTATCGACAATAGCCAAAGTATGGAAAGCACCCAAATGTCCATCGATAGATGAATGGATAAAGATGTGGTATATGTATATGTATGTATACACACACACACACACACACACACACACACAATGGAGTATTACTCGGCAATCTAAAAGAATGAAATCCTGCTATTTGCAACTATGTAGATATTATAGAGGGTATTCTGCTAAGCAAAATGTCAGTCAGAGAATGACAGATATCATATGGCTTCACTCATATGATAAATTGAAGATACAAAACAGATGAACATAAGGGAAGGGAAGCAAAAATAATATAAAAACAGGAAGAGGGGGCGCCTGGGTGGCTCAGTAGGTTAAGCGTCCGACTTTGGCTCAGGTCATGAGCTCACAGTTCGTGGGTTTGAGCCCCGCGTCGGGCTCTGTGCTAACAGCTCAGAGCCTGGAGCCTGCTTCAGATTCGGTATCTCCCTCTCTCTCTGACCCTCTCCAGTTCATGCTCTCTCTCTCTGTCTCATTAAACATTAAAAAAATTTTTTTTAATTTAAAAAATTAAAAAAACAGGAAAGGGGACAAAACATAAGAGACTTAAACATGGAGAACAAACAGAGGGTTACTGGGGGGGTTGTGGGAGGGGGGATGGGCTAAATGGGTGCGGGGCATTAAGGAATCTACTCCTGAAATCATTGTTGCACTATATGCTAACTTGGATGTAAATTAAAAAATAAATTAAATTTTTAAAAAGGCAAGCATATTATTTTATTTAATGTATAGGACAAAGTTACACATGCCGGTTTTGACATGAATAGATTAGTTCTCTCTTTCAGTGGGAAGTAGAAGCAGTTCTTAAATTATGAGTTAAACGCAGTATGGAGTGTGGCTAGGATTTGAGGAAACTAAAACAAAAAAACCCACCTCACCTCTTTGGCAAGTGTTTTAGTAAAAGTGGAGTTTCTCATATCTTCATCAAGAAGTCAATTTTCATGAAATTATTTTCTTCCTACTAAATGCTCTACCCTTTAGTTTTCCTCGGCTTCCACTTTAAGACCATTCCTAAAACTGACCATTAGAGAATTTACATCTGGGGCAAGTGGTATATGGCAAACGTAGACGGAATCAGAAGCCCGGGTAGGCCAGGGGTCCAGTATCACAAGCTATAAAAATATTTTTGGTGATTTGGGGGCGATGATAGATCCCTTTGGGAATCTGATACAAACTATATACCCTTTTCCAGAAACATATACACAAAATGTTCTGTATAATGTTGAAGTGTGCATGGACCTCGCACTCTCACCTCCTAACTTTCATGACCGCCTAGCTTGTAGGAGCCCCAGACTAGATCTGAAGATTCCTGAAGGGACTGTCAAGGGTTAAATGATTGGCGGCCTATGCTGAAATTACTACCTCACTCAACAGGTGCCACTGCTTTGATTGGCTGGGAGCCCCAGCTGGTGCAATCAGGATGCTCAGGTGAACTCTGCATGACTCCAGTCCTTCAAGGTGCATCTGGCCCTGCAGCTGTCAGGCCAGGGTGGGTGGCTCTAAACTATCCAGGTCCGAAGGCTCCTGAGGATGACAGGAAGGAGTTAGACTTTATCTGGAAATATTAAGGCTCTTTAGGCTGAGGTCTCCATTCTGAGCCAGAGCCCACGTAAAGGAACTGATTACAGAAATTAATTCCCTCACCTCTGCTTCCGAGGGCCAGAAAGGTGCGGCTTCCCGGAGTGGGGGCGCCTTAACCAGGGTCTCCGACCCTCCAGCAGCCCCAGCGACCCTCCAGTAGCCCCAGCGTATGGAAAGGTTCATTTCACCTCCTCGCCAAAGGTTTGGGTGTGGCCCCGACGGAAAGGATGAGTTGAGCCGGGTGCCGTCGGGCCCAGTTTTTTGGATCCCACGGTTCTCCTTATCTGTAGCTACAAAGCCCCTCCTGGGGTACGCTGATTCACTGACTGAGGTCCCCTTCCCTTCAAGTATGTCGGGGGAGCCCCGGGTGAAAGTCGAAGCCATTCCGCCCACCCCAGCAGGCCTTTCCCACAGCTGCCGGCTGCGAGGGCGGCAGTTAGTCTCTGCTACTCAGAGCGACGCCCACCGCCTAGAAGCTGTGGAAGACTGGGGTCGGAGCCCCAAGCTCACCAGTCGACGCCCATGACACGCCCCCGCGCGCTAAGGTACCGCCTCCTGATCCCTCCCCCCACTAAAGGCCCGCCTACTGGCTCTGACCCCGCACTGAGGGCTCGCCCTTGGTCCCGCCCCGGCTCCGCCCCCCGCGCGTCGAGGGCCCGCCCCGGCCCCGCCCATGCCCGCCCTGGCCACGCCCCCATGCCGAGGGCCCTCCTCACGGTCCCGCCCCACCGCCTGGGGCCGCGGCCGCTCCGGCTCGGGCGCGGCGCTTCTTCCGCGGTCCCGGCTCCGACTGAGCCGCAGCGGCCGCTCGCTCTACCTGCCACAGCCGGGCCGGCTCTTCCGCGCCACACGTGGGCGCGCCCGCCGCCAAGGGACGCTGCCGCCGCCGCCGGTAAGCCAGCCCCGCGCCCTCGGCTGCCGGGCTGAGCCCGGGCGTCTCCTCCTGCGGGCCCGGGGGCGGAGAGGCGGCGCGGACGTCCTCCCCCCCGGCGCGCAGGGTTCGAGCGGCGTTGTGGGGGAGGTCCCGGGGCGAGGGGGGCTCCCCGAGCGCGGCCGGGGCCCGCGGCGTGCGCTGCTGCAGTGCGGGGCCGGCCGCAGCGAGGCCGCGCGTGGGCGTGGGCTCCGGCCCGGGACTCCCCGCCAGGGGCCGCCTGGGGGCAGGGCGGGGTCCCCCAGGTACCCGGGCCCCCCCGCAGCGAAGGAAGTGCGGCCAAGTCCACACAGGGCCCGCGCGGCCTCTCGTCCGGCAGGTGGAGGTCAGGTGGGTCACCGCCCGCCCTCCCCTCACCTCGGCGGGCGGAAGATGGCCAGCCGCGCCTTTGTTTGCTTGTGCGGTCCTGGTCCGGGAGGAGGGCTAGGGACCGAATCCTTTGTAAACTGAGGGCTTTCCTGTTAAGGGAAGACCCCAGAGTCGCCTAGACTGTCCCCAGGAGAAGGGATCCGAGCCGCAGTGCGCGCGCTCTCCCCCCACGCCTGGCCCCGGAGTCTTGCAGGATTGCCGCCTGCGGCCGGCGAGGTTGTACCTTCAGCAACTCGTAGGGCTGCGTATGAAGACTCTTAGCCGCAGGTGTTTCCCTAACCTGGGACAGTTGCTCAATATTTGGAGAAAGCTTTGTAGGATTTTTTGGTTAGGCGATGGAGGCCTTCCCCTCCCACCCTTCTCCAAGCCCACTCCCGTTAGGGTCTTAAATTTTTTCCACTGTAATTTAATTACCACTCTGAAAGACCAAATTCAAAATAACGTGCCCCAGAGTTGATTAAACCAATGGCCGGAGAGTGTTTACGTGCTGTAGACTAAGGCTCGTTATCTGATGTTCTTGGGAGAGGGTGGCTATTTGTCATTTTTCTCTGTTTTCATCTTATCCCAATGTTCTTTCATGTAACTGTCTTTACAATTAACTTCTGATCTGGGCAGTTGATTTTTCACCTGAACTTGTTTTTCTAAGAAATTAGAAATGGATAAGGTGAGAGATTTCTTGCTGACATTTTCGATTTTAAGGCGGATACTTCTGGTCAGATGTACTTGTTTATATGATTACTCCTTTGTGTATTGTTAGGCTGTGGAACTCTCTCAGTTTTACTGAGCTGAGCCTCTCACAGGAAAGGGATTCAGGGTAGATTGCAAGATCATTGTCGAAAGACCTATTTGAGGGCCGAACTGTTCATTTTACTTGCAGCATAATGTAGTAAAGGCTCCGTGCCAGGGGGCTGACCTGAGCTGGATTCCTAACTCGGCTAGTCGGTTGCTGAGGGCCCTGGCCAGTTTGTCTGATTCCTACTATCTTCCTCTTGAGCAGCCTCAAGATAATACCCATCTCCTAGGCTTCTTGTGTGTTGCATAAGATAAATGCAGGCATAACGATGGATTTACCGAGCCCAGAAGGCTTGTGTAGTAGCATAGTATTGAATGCCCCAAATTTTGAAATGAAGGAGCTTGCTTGAATGACTATTGCCAAACTTCTCATCTGTGCTTTAAGTTACACCAAAGAGTACTTTCGTCACATAGCCAGCCATAACATTGAACCTGCCCTCCAGATTACCTGCCCTTAGCTGGCCAACACCTTCTTTGCCAGGAGCAGTGGTGCCACTTCCTAAACACAAACCCAATCGCTGACAGAGGCTCTCTTCCTACTAACTAGCTGCCCACACCCGTGGACTTTGAGGACCCCTCTGCTGGTAGTTGGGCTTCCTCCGTCCTTCCTTGTGCCAGTGTTACGTCGGTACACCGTCTGTCCCTGCGTGTGCCACCTTAAATTGGAATTATGTGTTTAGGTATTTCCTCTTTCAGTTATGTTCTGAACTATGAAAGGGGAACCCTGGTATTTTTTTTTTTCCACGTTTCTTTTCCCAGTACTTAGACACTTAATATAGTGAACAGACTATGCATGGGGTTTTGCAGTGGTTCAGAGATGCTGGATTTTCCTGGGGGAGAAAACCCAGTTATGGTCTCTTTGGACGTACTAACTCCTTACTTGGGAAAATAAAGTACCGTTTCTCATTACCTTCCTGTAATATTTTTAAAGAGTGTGATGGCTAGTATTTCAGAAAAAGGGACAAGCCTTCCCAAGAATCAGTGGGCAGTTTTACTGTGTGCCTTCATATAGTATAGTATATTTTCGCCGAAAGCCACATTATACATAAAGGCTCTGTGATAGGCTGTGTTAGCCATAGGACAAGCAGGGTGCCTCGAAAAGAGATAGATGGAGCCTTATAGGCCACGGGGTGAGGGGTGAGGAAGTTTGGATTATTATACGCTTAATAGGAAGAGTTTAAACACGGTGGGGATATAGGGGCACTTGGGTGGCTCAGTCAGTTAAGCGTCCAACGTCGGCTCAGGTCATGATCTTGCGGTTCATGAGTTCGATCCCCGCTTCAGGCTCTGTGCTGACAGCTCAGAGCCTGGAGCCTGCTTTGGATTCTGTCTCCCTCTCTCTCTCTGCCCCTCCCCCATTCATGCTCTGTTTCTCTCTCTCAAAGTAAACATTAAAAAATAATAAACATGGTGGAGATGTACTGTAATTTATGTTTTAAAAGGATTCTTGAGGTGCTATGTGAAAATGCATTGGAGGGAGGCAAGAGTAAAGGAGAAGCATCAGGAAATATCTGCAAGCTTGTAAGGGAAAGTTGGCTTCTTACACAGGGGTGCAGTGGAGATGGAGAGCAATTGAGGCCACAGGTGTTTTGGAAGAGCAGTCGGGGCTTGGGTTGAGTGTGGCAGATGAAGAGAAGAGTCCAGGATGATGTCAGAGGTCTCGTGAACGGTGGGGCTACTTTCTGAGGAAAGGAAGACTCGAGAAGGAGCATGTTGAGCAGGTCGCATCAAGAGTATCGTTTTTTTTGGGGGGGGGGATGCCTAGGTGGCTCAGTTGGTTAAGCATCTGACTTGGGCTAAGGTAATGATCTCATAGCTAGTGAGTTTGAGCTCCATGTTGGGCTCTGTGCCAACAGCTCAGAGCCTGGAGCCTGCTTCAGATTCTGTGTCTCCCTCTCTGTTCCTCCCCTGCTCTCTCTCTCTCTCTCTCTCTCTCTCTCAAAAGTAAATAAAGATTAAAAAAAACTTTTTTTAAGGATAGTTTTTTTTAAAGTTATTTTGAGAGAGTGCGCATGCTTATGCACACATATTCATGTGCGTGCACGCGCACACACACACAGGGGAGGGGCAGAGAAGGAAGGAAGAGAAAGAATCCCAAGTAGGTTCTGCACTGTCAGCACAGAGCCAGACACAGGGCGAACTCCCAAACCGTGAGCTTGTGACCTGAGCCAAAATCAAGAGTCGGACGCTCTACTAACTGAGCCACCCAAGCGCCCCAGCAGTATAGGGTTTTCTTAGAAACAGCTTTATTGAAGTGGAATTTATAGACCATAACCTTCTTTGAACTGTACAATTCGGTGATTTTTAGTAATTTGTGCAACCGTTGCCATAATCCAGTTTTCACACATCTGCGTTACCCCAGGGAGATCCCTGTGGCCCATTTGCAGTTAGTCCCTGCTGCTACTACCTTCCCTGGGCGACCACTAATCTGCTTGTCATCTCTGCAGCTTTACGTGTTCTGGGCACGTAGTATGAATGGAATCCTGCAGCATGTGACCTTCTGTGCGGCTTCTTCCACTATATTATGTATTTCTCAGGTTCACCCTTACCCTAGTGTCCGTCAGTACTCTGTTCATTGTATGGCTAGACCGCATTTTGTTGATGGACATTTGGGATGCGCTATGTCTGAGACACCTATGCCACATCCGGGTGGAAGAGTCAAGCAGACAACTGCATGAATTTGGACCTCAGAGGGGAACATTTGGGCAGGCATTATAAATCCATGGGTCATTAGCATGAAGATGGTATTTGTGAGGTATAGAAATGGGGAGATGACCGAGGATAAAAAGAGAGAAAGAGGCCCAAACCTTGGTGCCAGGTAATGGCAACAATCGCAGTAGGTAGAGGAGGGTCAGTCTGCAGAGAAGAAGGGACCCGCAGAGAAGTAGAAGCCAGCACAAGGCTGGTCGGGCCAGAGGAGTGTGTGGGCTGAAAGGAGTCCGCTACACAGTCCTCTTGAGAGGTAGAAAGGCTACCAGCATGAGAAGCTTGAAAGTTGAGGTGGCCTTGGGAAGATCGGAGTGGGCCCAGAATGACCGGAACTAGCAGATATCATGGGATTCTTAGAACTTTGCCATGGCCAGTAAGTGAGATCCAGGCCTCAAGAACGCGTCGTATCTGCAGTTCAGTTTCTTTCTTTCTTGTCTTTAAGTTTATTTATTTCTTTGAGAGCAAGTGAGATGCTGGGGGTTGGGAGGAGGGAGGCGGAGAGAGAGAATCCCAAGCAGTCTCCACATTGTCAGCTTAGAGCCTGATGTGTTGCTCAAACCCACAAGCTGTGAGATCATGACCTGAGCCAAAACCAAGAGTCAGATGCTTAACTGAGCCGCCCAGGCGCCGCTACGGTTCAGTTTCTTTCATCTGTGATTTTGCCATTTTGACTGACTGTGTGCAACTTGGTTAGCAAACTCACTACAGCATTCTCAGTGTATTTAATTACATCACATTGCTCTACATTTTAGTCTCTTTTCAGACTATGTACTAGTGACTGTTAGCCTTGTATATCCATCAGGCTTGATTGTGTTTGGTGGCGAGTATCACAGAATGTGGTTGAATGGTGGCTTACATCAGCTCTTCTGGGCAGAAAACGTCAAGTCCAGAGGCAGAGTGTCCAGGATTCATGTAGTGCCTTCTTAAAGCCGTCTCTGGCCTCAGCTGCTATCTTTCCACTTACCCACTTACCCACAAAAGTTGCAGGCTGTGGACGGTTGTTTCTTCGTGGTTGCCACACGTGGCTTTACCTCCAACCTCAAACTTTTGTTTCAGGCAGTAAGAAGGGCAAGTGTGAAG